CCTTGAAAAGGATACACAGGAGGGATTGCCAGGGGTAGGCAGCAAGGGCACCAGACCAACCTCTGTCTCCTCAGAGGGGCACCCCTCCAGCCGTAGCCCAACGGCACTGCAGCCTAGCGCACTCAGAGTACATGGGTCAGCCACTGCCCTGCTGCTCAGGCTCCATCTCCCGAGACAGCAATTTTCACTTCTAGGAGCACTGGGATCCACAGCTGCACATTCAGAGTGATGCTGCCTATTTCACAAGGCCATGGAGGAAAATCAATGCGAATGCATCTGAAAACCCTTTGAGCATCATAAAGCATGACTCAAATGTGAAGTTATTTATTATTGGCGTGGGATATTGAGGGATGCAGAGGTAGCTCAGAAGCAGAAGGTTTCAAGGTAATGGGGCTGAACTGCCAAAGGTTGCTGGGAAAAACCAGAGCCCTCCTTGAGTGGGCTGAGGAGAGCAGGCTACAAAACATCGCAGCTGAGCCAAGTTCTCTTCCTGGGGCCTGGACAGACCATGACAAGGTACTGTAGAGAGTGCAAGAATGGAATCCTCAGCCCACTGGGCACCACATGAGTTATTTTCTGTGCTTTATTGCTTCATTCATAATTATGGGTTTTTCTCAATTTATAGAATTGACAATTATGTGTGATGCTGAGCCCTGGAAAGCTAACAGCATGGATTGGTGCTGTGTGTTCTAACTGTAAGCAGCTGAACCCAAAGCAATGCTCACAATTAATAGTTCAGAGCGCTACTTTCATGGGGCTCACCTAGGTGTTGGAATGGGTTGCTGATGAATCTCCAGGCGTTGCCAAGGGAGTTCTCACTCTAGCTGGCCAGCTCCAACAAACTGGGGTGGAATTGACATGAACCTCTAATCTGTCGTGTATACACGGAAAGGTTTCCTTGCATTTTTTCTGCATGTTTGACTGAGTTTCTTTATTAACTAATTATTAAAACAGGGACTTCATTATAGAGACAAAGCCTTAAAATTCAAAATTCAAGGTGTGCCAGTCTCAGAAGGGTGTCATGCCCAAGACTGTAGTGCAGAGATAAATGGTTTTTAGTTGTTTTTCCACTTTTTTTATGGATTCTCTTTAAAATCTTCCTATTCTTACTGTCCTGCTAGAATACTGCTTTTTTCTTAGGCAAAGAGGTGATTTCCTGCAGAAAGTAGCAGCTAAAACTTAGGAGCCAGGAGTTCTTTTTCTGCTTCTTCATTCAAATCACAGAATAATGTGACAAAATCAACTTTTATTATAAAATAAGTATTAAAAAATCTGCACATCTAATTCTTAATTTGAGACTTAAATATGCACACTATTGCATGACATGATTTAAACTGTAAGTTATTTTCTAAAGAGATGCCAGGACAGACACGTTGAAAATTCAGAAATCGTAAATCACATCTGTCCCAAGTAATCTCCTAGTTTGCATTAAAACTTTCTCCTTAAAGTTTGTGTCTTCTATGGAGAACTTTCCTGAAGGAGACAATATGCACTCCTTGAAATTATAACATTATAAGGGCAGATATTTTTGTATAGTAAAAAGACGCTGTACTAATATTCTTAGCCTTCAGTATTTAACCCAAACCTCAGATTACTTTTAAGATCCTAAATGATGTGTACCTATAACTCAGATTTAGTATGACTATCTGAATTACCTGGGGTTTCCTCCTGCTTTGGAATTTCATTGTCATTGTGTTTAACATTTGACTGATGCATCGGGGATGGCATATGGCATTTTCTTGGAAAGTGAATTAATGACTTGCATTGTCTCTCCAGACGCAGGGGGCAGGCTCTCCTCGCTCCTCCCCCAGCCACACCATCAGCAGACCAATCCCCATGCCCATCCGGTCAGCTTCAGCCTGCTCCACCCCGACACACACGCCTCAGGACTCTCTCACGGGGGTAGGGGGAGATGTACAAGAGGCGTTCGCACAAAGTAAGTGGCTGTATTTTTCTTGTGGCCTGCTTTTATGTGGCAAATAAATCACCAAGGTCTATTGAGTGGTTGCAAGTTATCAGAGCCCTAAATGAAATTCAGCGGCCCCATGGCTTGTGTCAGAGCCTGGACCATGAACCATTTTAGAAACTGTCTACACTGACCTGCTCCTCACCTCACCGTTTTACCTTCCTCTGGCTTCTTTTGCCCTGTCCCATATTTTAGTAAGTCATTGCTCCCCAAGGAATGGGAACTTGTGTAACCCATATCCCATGTCCCAATATAGTCCATTCTAAAAATCTGAAAGATAATATTTCCTGCCATCTTCTCTTAACATTAAAGCAAAAACAACACTGAGAATAATTAACCCCAGCTCTTTAGTTCCATGGTGACTGAGAAGGATTTTTAGTCATGTCACAGACACCCTGTTTAGATCCTCTAAAGAGTTGAACTGTTATCCTCCACTATCGGGCTACAAGGTTAGGCCTCCCTCATTAATAGAGGAGGGCAAAGAGGGATGGAGACACAGGACAGCTAGCATTTTCCAGCAGGCTGCTGCTTCCATTTACACGCTGCTGAGGATGCCCCAAGGCAAGTGGCTTTATTAATTTGGATTTTTTTTTAAAGAATTATGTATTTATTTATTTATTTAAATTTGACCAGAAAGACAGAGTGAAAGAGGGAAATTGAGAAAACAAGCCACCAGGTCCAGGACTTGAACCATAGTCAGCCATGTGGGAATCCAGCACCCCAACCACCATATACTTGCTGGCCCCAACTTGAAAATATTTTTAACACTTTTGAAAATGTTTTTCTTACCATTGCTTTGAAAATTTATAGAGTAAGAAAAAAATCTTCCTGCAGACCCTCCTCTAGCAATCTCATTCCCAGAAGCTACTGCTATTCATAGTTTGGTCCTTCCAACATTTGGATTATGCATAAATAGATATGCTAAAGTGTGTGTTTATAGACAAATACTCTTCTTCTTTCACACAAATAAAATCATGCATTGCATTTTTGTCTACAATTAGCATTTTCTTTTATGTAGCTATAGATCATGCATATCCTTCCAGATCCTCACGTATAGAGCTAAGGAAAAGAGACAGATTTGACTATAAGATTTAAGGAAAGCATAAACAAAGTCAAACAACAGCAAAGACTTAAGGAAATCATTTCCAGCACAGGCAACAATCAAGTATTATAATTTTAGTTATACATTAAACAGGCAGCAATCAGTAAGAAAAAAGCATCCCCAAAACAAAAGTAGGTGAAGATATAAGCAGATTGAAGAAATACAAATTACCAAAGAAGATCTGAAAAGAGGTCCAGCTTCACAAATAATTGTAGAAATACAAACTATAATAAATATTGCCTTTTTCAGGGCCAGTAGGTAGTATGATGGCTGAGACACTGGACTCCTACATGGTCAACCAGGTTTCGAGTCCCAGAACTGACAGCTTGCTTTCTCACTTTTTCTTTCTCTCTCTGATAAGCACATGTGCCCTATAGCAAAATTTTTAAAAAGTAATCATAATAATAAATAAAATTAAATAAATAAATAAATACTACCTTTCTTCCAAAAGATTTTTTTAAATGTTTTTTAACATCTGTAATACCAGGGTTAGCAATAGACTCTCTGACCACTGTCTCTGGGGGATAAAATTTTTACAGAATTTACTGGGAATGATGGATTCTCTATTATGAAAAAAATGTGAAAGCCCATAATGAAACTTTCTCTCCTAACCACTGAATATAACTCAAGAATTGCTTATGTAATTCACTAAATAGTTCACTTTTTTATTTTTAGAAAATAAATCTTTTCCCAAAATCTCATTTTAAAAAAAATGCTACGATATTTTAAATGGAATTCTGATTTCTATTATAAGTAATCTTTTTACCTAACTACCTCAATTTTTTTATTTCAATGTATTTTTTATTTTACTTACTTGGCATTACTTTCTGAGAGATGACAGAAACATGTCCTGTAGGCATAAAATGCTCATGCTAAGTTTATTTGTAAGTCAGATATCTGGGAGGGTGAATCCTTTTCCTCAAAGATATTATGTAACTAGTCTTCTGTTCCATCTCCACCTTGCCCCACTCCCAGGCTAGCTCACAAATATCCATTGCACCCTTACCATGCTGAAACATCATAATTTTTCTCTGTTATAGAGTAAGAGTCTACATAGCCTAAGTTCCAATTCAATGTAACAGATATGCATTCACCTGTGTCTTGGCAGCAGGAGCAAGAATCTTCACTGCCGTTGCACACTCGCACACTCAGGAGCATCAGTGCCTGGGTTTCCATCCCTAAGAAGTACTCACAGTGGTAGGGGAAGCCCTGGGACCCTGGTAGGAATTAGAGCCTGTGGTAATGGAGACCAGAACCCATGTGCTCAGTCACCAGGTATGGGCTGGAATGATAACTGCAGCTAGAAACATGCAGCTCTGTAGCAAAACCAGAACTTTCCACGTGTGGATTATGCTTAGGAAGGCTGGCTGCACATCCTGCTTACTTGGGATCCTCTCACTTCGTGCTGGGACACTATCTTATTATTAATACTGCTTCCTTTCAGTTTCAAAATTGTCTCAATTTGGACGATAAAGCATACAAACTGCCATCATTTACCACATCTTACATTAGGGTCTGCTGCCTTAAGTATCATGTCTTTTTTTTTTTTTCCCCAAAAAAAATGAACCAAAGTACCTTCAAATAAATATCTTAAAAGTGTTTTTACTTTAGGTTATCAGTGGAAATGATAAGCAAACAACATAAAAATCTGGGGAAAGGGAACGCTCTGATGTTTTAAACTTTCTCTTCTCCACGGAAGGCTCAAGAAGAAACTTAAGGAATGACCTGCTCGTGGCTGCAGATTCTATCACTAACACCATGTCCTCTCTCGTGAAAGAGCTGAATTCTGGTGAGTCTCTGGTCCCCTCCCACCTCTCTGCTCATCATAGAGAGGTCCGTAAGTGCTAGAGACCTCTCAAAGATCTGCTTATTGTCACATGTAAAAAGATTCTTTTAAACTCTATTTGATATTGTATGGTATATTCAAAACATGTAGTAATGTTTATATTTTGTTTATTATAACACTATTCATTCATTTTCAATGCGAAAAGTTTGAAAAATGCAGAAAACGGGGCCAGTGAGTTGTATAGTGATTAAAATGAACTTAGGATTCGCATCCCAGACCCAGCAGCTTGTAAATCACACCAGGAGCATGTCCATGCATGCCCAAAATGCCAGGAGGATAGTGAAGGAGAGGGGATTGTGTCATGGCCATCTCCCCTGGGGTGGGGGGGTCATTTCTCACTTACCCTCTCACTGTCTCTCTCTGTCTTTCTCCAGTGAGTGCACGTGCACTATGGCAAAAAACTTTTTAAAAAATTAAAAAATAAAGGAGAGGAAAAGATGCAGAAAATAATAAAGAATATGTAAATTGATTTATAATTGGAGAATCTAAAGATGGCCATAGTTAACATGTCTGATGATCCCAAGCAACATGATGCTAAAAGTTATTTTATAGAGACAACGGTTCTATTTACCCACATAGACTCTGTTAATTTGGAATGATCATTTGAATGAGACTAAACTGAAATTTATTTTGCAATGTCTCTGAAGAAAGATCTGCTCAGAGAATGAATAACATAAGCTCCTAGGAGACTTTTTATCTTCCTAGTAATACACAGAGTTTTTAAAACTTGAGCAGCATGAATACGCAAATAAATATCTTACTAGTTACTAATATATCTCTATTTATTTTTTAAAGCAGATCTAGAAAAATTTGTCTGGCAGAGACTGTAGTTTTACAGTTGAGATTGCAACCATAAGAAATAAACTTCAATATTAAAAAATAAAAACAGAAACGAAAACAAAAAAACCCTGGACTTAAACTTCTTAAAGCCTCTCCCATAAGATTTAAACCAATAATTGTTCCTGCTATTTTAGGTTAAGATTACCAAATAGGATAACATGGCAGTAGTTAATGCATTATGATAAATGCACTTACCCACTGCCCTAGCAAATGACTCAAATGTTATTCTTGTTGAAGTCTCAAGTGCTATTAGTATATATTTTTACAATTCTTTGAAGCATTAATGAATGTAAAAATTTAGGTTCATATTTACTAAGTTAGAGTAACATGAAGTGAAAGTAACAACATTTTTTTTTGAGAGGTTTTTGCTATAGGATGCGTGAGCTCGCCAAAAAGACAGAGAGAGACAGAGAGACAGCGAGAAATCACCCCCCCCGGGGGGGGGGTGGCCACCGCAATCCTTTCTCCTCCATTCTCCTCTCAGGATCTTGGGTACACACGCACACGCGCCCAACGTGAGTTTAAGCCACCAGGTCTGGGACTCAAACCTTGGTCGACTACATGGGTCCAGCAACATAGCCATTACACTAACTGCTGGTCCCAAAAGTAACAACAATTTTAATAAAGACTTTTTTTAGAGAGATTTTTGCTAAAAGGCCTGTGTGCTTACTGAAGAGAAAGAGAGACAAAAAGTGAGAAATCACCCCCCAGGGGAGAGGGCCATGCTGCAATCCCTTTTCCTCCATTCTTCTCTCAGGACTATGGCACACACACACACACACACACACACACACACCCCTGCTGTGAGTTTCAAGCCATTGGGTCCAGGACTCAAACCATGGTCTACTATGTAGGAATCCAGCAACATAACCATTAGTCCATCTGCTGGTACCTTAATAAAGACTTTCATTAAGTCAGTTACTAAAGCACAAAAATCTCTCTTAACATTTCTGAGACCAAAAAGAAAATGCTGGAGCCAAGCAGTGGCAGAGTAGGGGCACAGCTTTCTGCATGGCAAGGTCTTGGGTTCCCACATGTGCCCCTCAGGCTTGCTGAGACTGGGGCGCAACACAGCGTGAAGACCTTGTTGGGGGTGCCTGTCCCTCTTTCACTCTCATACTCTCCCTCAGAAGAAATAAACAAACTTTTTTAAAAAAAAGAAAACTATTTTTTAAAAAAAGAAGGAAAATATTATATACCAAATGATTTTGTAGTCATTCCTGTGTCAATACTCATTTTGAAAAATAAAAATAAAAGTTTATTCGTTTGCTTCTTCTGTGAGCACAAACACGAGAGAGAGATAGAAAGAGAGAGAAGGAGCACAGAGCCCCCTGTAAGGCACCGACATGGCAATCCAGCCCCAGCCTTCAGTCAGCCCCAGATCATGGGGACGTTGCCCAGCATACTCGAGAAAGTCTCCAGACATGAGCTGGGAACCTTCCCAGGTGGAGTTGCATTACGGGGGTAGGACTTTTCACCACTGAGCCACCGTCTGGTCTCCCCAAAAGTAAACATTTATTTGACTACTGTCCAACAACTGGTTAATATTTTGTACCCATTAAGTTATGTTAAACCTAGTCCTTTCTTTGCAGATCATTTAAAAAATGTATCAAGTAATATCCTTCTTCATTTTTACCTACTAGAGGTGGGGAGTGAAACGGAGAGTAATGTGGATTCTGAATTTGCACGGACTCAGTTTGAGGATCTGGTTCCATCTCCAACCTCTGAAAAGACTTTTCTAGCGCAAATCCATGCCCGAAAACCCGGGTACATTCATGGTGGAGCTACCACAAGCACCATGCGCAGCGACCTGTGAGTATCTCCCATTCGGAGGTATTTTCTCAGTAACAACAATCTGTAGGGTGCAATCAAAAAGGAAAAAGATGTGGGTATTTCGTTCTTTACTTTGGAAAGAGATGATGCAGGTTTTTTTACTGGCAGAAGAGGTGTAAAAGGTGCCACATTTAAATTCTTTTTTGCAGTTTTCCCCCTTCACAAGTTCTATGGACGATCAGAAACCTAAATCAGCCAATGCTTACTGTGAGCCTAGCTCCTCCAAGACACTGTCCTAGGCATATACAGAAAGCATTTGAAACTGCTTCCACCCTTCCAGGACTCACAGACCAGTTCAGGAGATAAGACATCCTCTCTTCCGAATTGACTGTATTGGCACTAGGGGCTCTGGTGAGGCTGAGAGGCTGCTTTGATGGATGTAAGCAATATCACATAAGCACTTGGACTTGCAGTAAGCAAATGCATGAAATATCATGCTAAAGAAACCCAATTTCATTAGCTTATTGAGTATGTTTGAATGTGACCCTCAGAAAAATTTATTTTGGGGGACCTGCAGGTGGCGTGGTGGCTAGGGGCACTGGACTCCCACATGGCTGAGCACAGTTCGAGTTCCAGACCTGGTGGCTTGCTTTCTTGCCTTCTCTCTCTCTCTCTTTCTCTCTCTCTCTCTCTTTCTCTCTCTCTTTCTCTCTCTCTTTCTCTCTCTCTCTGGTCAAAATGAAAATAACTACAGTGATAAATAAAAGGAATAATTTCTTTTTCCTTTTTGGAGAGGTTTTCACTATAGGGCGCATGCGCTCGCCAGACAGACAGAGAGAGACATAGAGACAGAAAGTGAGAAATCACCCCCCAGGGGGGATGGTCACGCCGCAATCCCTTCTCCTCCATTCTCCTCTCGGGATCTTGGGCACGCACGCACACGCGCCCAGCGTGAGTTTCAAGCCACCGGGTCTGGGACGCGAACCACGGTCAACTATGTGGAAGTCCAGCAACATAGCCATTACACTAACTGCTGGTTCCCAAAGGAATAATTTTTAAAAAATTATTTTGGAAAGGTTTTCACCTGATAAAGCTTCCAAAACTGGGCAGATGCCAACAGGATCAGTGGGGTTCCCATTAGACTTTCTATTATTCTTTTTTGTTTTTTGGAGAGGCTTTTGCTATAGGGCGTGTGCACTTGCCAGAAAAACAGAGACAGAGAGACAGAAAGCAAGAAATCAACCTCCCCGGGGGGATAACCACACCACAATCCCTTCTCCTCCATTCTCCTCTTGGGATCTTGGGCACGCACGCACACATGCCTGGTGTGAGTTTAAGCCACTGGGTCCGGGATGCGAACCGTGGTCAACTACATGGGAGTCCAACAACATAGCCATTATGCTAACTGCTGGTTCCTAGACTTTCTGTAACACTGGACCTGCTTGAAGTAGTCAACAGAGAGAGCAGAAGCTGAGAAACAAAGGCAAAGCCAGGACAGAACTACAGAGTTCAGCCCCAGAGGAAAAAGAGTAAAATGAAGAAAGAGAAGAAAGCGGGCCGTGAGGAGATGGAGGCTACCAGAATTCTGAGAAACATGGGCAAAGCTGGCCACAGGCTGGGAAAGGGAATTGCTGAACCCTGGAAAAACTACAGAAGGGTGATGTTGCTTAATGCAAAGAGTACTTCAGACGGGTCTACAAAAATAAACTGGCTGTTTAAAGACCCAAAGGAGAAACTAACCAGAGTCTTCTTGGTATTTTGGCTCTCAATCCAAGTAGTGAGTAAAAGACCAGTTATAATAGAGACTTATACAGTCTCAGAAGCCAACTGCGAAGCAGCAGAGTGTCAGTTACAAGTGAATGTGAAATGGCAGTGCCCGGCTGCTTTTAATTGCAGTTTGTTTTCTTATCCTTTTCTCTATAATTTAAATTGTTTGATTTGTTTGTTATTCAAAATGGTGAATTAGTTGTCTCTTTTAACTAGTAAATACATTTCTATTTTACTTCTGGAATTAAGCATTTATAGGGTGGTTACCTAAACTTTCCTTGTCCCAATCCAAGACTATTAAAGCCATCCCCATCTGCTGTCCCTGGTATGCTGGACAGCAATTCCAGCTACCAACATGTGACTCGGGAGTTGGGGAGGGAAAGTTCACGAAAACCTGGCAGACTCCAGGCTGGCCCCAAACTTCCAAAAATAACGAGAACATGCTGTACAGATATAAATAAACATGAACAATGACATTTAAGTTCCAGAAGCTTCTCCTTGACCATTCGTTCCATTTTAAGGGATATTTTAATATGTGATTTGTCAAAACATAGGTTGTGTTTTACCCTGAGAATATTTTAGTTATATGATTTAGGTAGTGAACTTATGTTCAGCCCCACAAAGAGCTGCACATATTCTGAGATGAATAGGTGGAAGTGGAGTCCCACATTAGTGAGTGAGGTCATTCTCATCTATTTATTTCTTAGTGGAATTGGACAATTGAAAGAGATTTTTCAGATTCAGAGCTAAATATTCAAATTTTAAGGTCAAAAACTGTAGGTTAGAACATTAGCCCTCCAAGTATCAACTAGCTAATATTCTAAGACTTGATTCGACTGTTAAAATAACGTGTGTGTGTGTGTGTGTGTGTGTAACACAAAGATGGTTGAATTGTGAACAGATGTCCTTAAATGTAATTTCACTAGAGGGCTCACTCTCCTTATAGAAAGTCTTTTTCAGTTTCACTTGAAAAAAAGAAAAAGAGCCCTCAAGGTTGGGAAAACTTTATATCCTCTCAAAAGACAAGTCTGGGGAACCAGCAGTTAGCGTAATGGCTATGTCGCTGGACTCCCACATAGTCGACCGCGGTTCGTGTCCCGGACCCGGTGGCTTAAAACTCACGCCGGGCGCGTGTGCGTGCGTGCCCAAGATCCCGAGAGGAGAATGGAGGAGAAGGGAATGTGGCGTGACCATCCCCCCTGGGGGGTGATTTCTCGCTTTCTGTCTCTATGTCTCTCTCTGTCTGTCTGGCAAGCACACGCGCCCTACAATGAAAATCTCTCAAAAAAAAAAAAAAAAAAAAAAAGACAAGTCTGCTTTTTCAATTTTTTTTTTTTAAGATTGTAAGACATTTAAAGAGTCAGCCCCTTCTTGTAAACCCTAGAAAAGCAGAAGACCTGTGATCACTGTACTGCCATAACAAAGCTGCATGTGAAAGTACCTTCGTGGTCTATCTATTACTCCAGACCTCCAAAATCATTGAACGTTTTCCTTTTGAGGAAAGAAGACTTGAAAGTGAATTGGAAGACTAAAGGGAAATAAATGTGCCAAATTATATTATCTCTTAAGACTTGCTCCAAAATGCCATCTGTGGTTTATTCCCAGGGTTACAGAAGATGGAGACTCCTATGTGCGGCCTGAGGATGAAAACTATGAAAATGACTCTGTCCGGCAGCTAGAGAATGAGCTCAAAATGGAGGAGTACCTGAAACAAAAGCTACAGGATGAAGCCTATCAGGTACCAGAAATCCTAGCAGCACACCCCCACACATACCACTTCCGCCTCAGCCCCTCAGTAGCTGGGTCTTTTACATTATTTGCAAAATCAGTATACTCTTTTTCTTTCCAGTCTTCCTTTCTGGGATGTTCTGATTGCACTCTTTATCCATGTGTTTCCAGACTGTAAAATTTTTAACTACTTCGTGTAGCTATCAATCACAATGTATTCTTATAAATTCTGGTCTGGAAAGTGAAAAGATGCCTTGTTTTATTATCAGAAACTGTTCGTTACAGTTCAAACACTTCCAAGATCATGAAGAAAGATGCTTTTTCTAATTATTTTTTAAGAGGTTTTTGTCTTAGGGCACATGTGCTTACCAGAGAGACAGAGGGAGAGAGAAATAGTGAGAGGGAAAGAAAGAAATCACCCCCCAGGGGAGATGGCCACACCACAAACCCTTCTCCTCCATTCTTGTCCTGGGATCTTGGGCACGCATGCACTTGTGCCCAGTGAGAGTTTCAAGCCACCAGGGTCCAGGACTCAAACCGCAGTCACCCATATAGGAGTCCAGCAACATAACCTCTATGCCATCTGCTGGTCCTGCTTCTTCTAATAATTTTTGTAAAGAGGTTATAAAGAAGAGCACACAAGAAAATTAGGGGGGGTGGGGGAATGTACTTCCTCCCTTGAATTTGTCCTCACCTCCTTCACAGCCTGCCTTGTACCAAATGTAAGGAATGATGAGAATAATAAACCTCATTGAGAAATACTGGGAGAACTGTAGGCCCCAGAAGGTCCCTGTAGGCCCCTGTAGGCAAGATGTGGATGGACAGATTTTCAGATGTGCAGGAGTATAATAACAGAAATGAGGATTTGCTGAACATAACATATACAACAGGGAATAAAAATAATTAGTACATCATCCTAAAGGTGATGTATTTTCCCAATGGAGATTGTTCTACTTCTTGTTTGTCTTTCTTACATGTTTCCTTCCCTTTAATCGGAAGATGTTTTGCTGAGGTTGACGTTCTGGGAGTACAGGGATATTTGCCTAGCTGAGATCTATCGTTCTCCAGGCCCCAACGGGTTCTTTTATCTGGTCAGACTTTCTGTCCAATGTCTGGACCAGCTTTCTCTGCATTTTTAGGATAGCAGTGACCTTCTCTTACTCTCTTAGTGAGGGAAAAAGAAGCACAGAGAATACATTATCTCACACTTCTCATAAATTTATGGATTAAGCCTTGAAATATTTCTCCAGAAAGAATGTGACCAGAGGAAATTGAAGTCTAATCCATCCCAATAATGTGTAACACAAGTTTTGTCTCTTTTTTTCTAATTGCCAGAGGGCACATGTGCTTGTCAAAGAGAGAGAGAGAAGGAGAAAAAAGCTATCCCCAGTGGGGCATGGTCATGCCACAAGCCCTTCTCCATTTCTCCATCCCGTTGGGATTTTGGACACACATGCACATGTGTCCAGTGTGTTCCTCAAGACACAGGGAACAAGACTCAAATCACAGTCAGCTATATATGGGTTCTAGCTTCCCTAATTTCTAGGACGACAACCTAATTTTGCCTTTTTGGAATATTCTATTAGCCTTTTCAGTTGAACAACCACATTGCAAATGTTGTTCTAGCCAAACCAACAAGAAAAGATGGGGGAGTGATGGTATATGTGTAGCCATGCACCCCTGCTACAGGAACAAGACTCAAATCACAGTCAGCTATATATGGGTTCTAGCTTCCCTAATTTCTAGGACGACAACCTAATTTTGCCTTTTTGGAATATTCTATTAGCCTTTTCAGTTGAACAACCACATTGCAAATGTTGTTCTAGCCAAACCAACAAGAAAAGATGGGGGAGTGATGGTATATGTGTAGCCATGCACCCCTGCTACAGAAACAGTCACCTGGTTGCAAGTCCTTGGGAACCACTCTTTCTCTCTGACTTCTGGGGCTGATCCACTGAAAGAAACTAGCCTGGACTGAAGCTGTCACCATCCCTCTGGGGACTCAGAGGGATGCATTTTGACACATGTCTCATTTGGCTCTGCTGTACAGAGGTAAAGCGATGTGGCTAAATAATCAAGATTCTGGTTCACGCTGCTGGAGGGTGTAGTAGGCCTCCCTCTGAATATGTATCAATCTTCAGAGTTTGATGACAGCAGTATGAAATTCTATGTCTGTTATTTTGGTTTGGTTTGTTGTTTTTCTTTTTTTTTTTTTGGAGAGGTTTTTGCTATAAGGGCGCGTGCGCTCGCCAGACAGACAAAGACATAGAGACAGAAAGCGAGAAATCACCCCCCAGGGGGGATAGTCACGCCGCAATCCCTTCTCCTCCATTCTCCTCTAGGGATCTTGGGCACGCACGCACATACACCCGGCGTGACTTTTAAGCCACCGGGTCCAGGATGTGAACCACGGTCGACTACATGGGAGTCCAGAGACATAGCCATTACGCTAACTGCTGGTTCCTTGGCTTGGTTTTTTAAAGGAGGCAATCTTTCATAGCCCTGTATAAAATATTAGATTTTTATTTATTTTAATAAGTTGGGAATTTAACCTTCTATAAGTAAAATGAGTAAGATTGAACTGGAGTTTTTGCCATCTCTGATGAATCTTAAGCTCTTTCTCTCCCTCCTTTTCTTCCCATGCCCAGTGACTTCGAGGGAAAGGGCACATGGAAGGGCCTGGGAGAATACAACAGGCCTGTGTGTCCCTGCTCAGGACTTAAGCCCTCTAGAACCTTGGCATGGTTTTCCTTAAATGCTCTGTGAGCATACGGTTGCTGGATGCATTGGAACGCTTTCACTCTTTGGAACGCTTTCACTCATTGGAATCTTTCTCTTTCTCTGTCTTTGTGCATGGCTTCCAGCTAAATACTTCACCAGCTTGACTGCATCACAGACTTGACATGTCACCTTTCTTGTTTGTGTCCTTTGTCACCCACAGGTCAGCTTGCAAGGTTGAATGCAATATCCTTTTATCACTCTCCTCTCAAGTAAGTACCCTCTTATTTAGGAGGAAACATGGCCACTGTACACCGAACTCTGATAACTTATAACCTAAATTTACAGTCACTCTCTCTCAGGTGTTTCTTCTATACATTCAAACCTCTTCCTTCCCTGCTGATATGAAAGAATCATCTTAGTCTAAGGAGATTCCATTATCACTCAATGGAGATTTGCCAGACATCCTTGGGAGTTGCCTTTTTACTCTATCCATTGGAAAAGTGGTACAAAAACTTCTAGAATACCAGAGAAGCCTGAGAAATTCTCTGTGGCTATGACACTTATACAGGTGGCTTTAAAAAGTTCATAGAAAATAGAACTAAAGCATGAGTTAGTTTGGGTGCAAAAAAAAAGATGTTGAAATTCATGCAGCTTTTTTTCCTAATATGCATTTTCCTTGAACTTTTTAAACACCCCACATAGAGTCACCTCATAAATCCAAATGGCATTCAGGTGTATAGCCTTTCTACCCCATAAGGAAAAGAAGAGCTGTGCTTAACACTTGTACAGATGAGTCCATTCCTTAGACACACTGTCGTTAGGGTCCCAAAGATCAAATGTGTGATCTTAACAAGCAAAATCATGTAATAGTAAAGAACATGAAAAATCAAAACAGGAAGGAAAAATTCTTCAGCCTTGCATTTTTGGAAATGCATTCAAATCCTTTCTGGAATTCAGCAGAATATAAATTAATTTGAACTGTCATTTATGCAGCATGTGATTTCCCCCTAAGAATCTACCTAAATACATGGAAAATATTTAGCCATTTCTTTTTTTTTTTTTATGTAGCACTTGACTAATGAGATCACCTGTGTGTCGTGATCTGAAGTTTAGACTCTGGACTCTAATAGATTCCAATATGGGTTTTACCAAACCCTAGCAGCAAAACTTCAGGCAAATTGTTGAACTTGTATTAGCCTCTATTTCCTCTACACAACATGTACCACAATACCTATCTCACAGAGAAGTTATACTCACTGGGACATAGTTTTTTTTTCATAATTACTTTATTTTATATTATTTGTTTATTTCTTTTAATTGGACCAGAAAGAGACAGAGAATAAAAGAGGAAAAATGAGAAAGCAAGCCACCAGGTCTGGGACTTGAACCTCAATCAGCTGTGTGGGAGGCCAGTCTCTTATCCACCATGCCACCTGCCAACCCCAATATTTATGTTTTTATATATTTATTTATTTATTTTGTTTAGATTCTTGCCATAGAGCACGTGTGCTTGCCAGAGAGAGACAGAGAGAAAGTGAGAAATCACTCCCCAGGGAAGATGGCCACATCACAATCCTTTCTCTTTCAGTCTTGTCTTCAGATTTTGTGCACACACACAAAGCCCAGTGTGTTTTTCAAGCCGCTGAGTCCAGTACTTGAACCGTGGAGTCAGCCATGTGAGATCCAGTGTCTGAACTATCATGCCACCTGCTGGTCCAGAACATAATTTGTAAAGAGCTTACAATTTTGTTTCAGAACAAAAATGACCAAATCACTCGAGCTAAGAGAAAGAAAATGCTATTAAAAGAAAGTGGCAGGTACAATTAATGTACCATGAACATACACATATATGCCTGCCATCATAACCAGTGCTTACCAGCAGTTCAATGCCTGGGCACAGCTAGGGTGAGAACCACTGGGACTCAGAATTAGCTTACTCTTACTACTTCTATGAGCAAGGCTGAGCCTCAGCTATGTGCAGCAATTTGATACATCTGGATTACACAGCCCTATAAATCTAGATGGTTTATCTGGCTGAAGCTAATGGCCATTTACACTAATGTAAATGGGTCCCCCATTACAATTTTAAAGCTAAGGACACTCTCACAGTAATCCAGCTGCACTGGCTCAAGATTTCTGTCTACTTTAGTTATAAAGTCTTTCCACCCATGGAGTCATATATGTCTGTAGTACAGTTGACGACAGTAAACTCTGTCAGTGCTTGTTGCAAAGTTGCAAGGGAAATATATATACATCTTAAAATGGCACGTCAGTTAGTGAAGACTACATTCTAGTTCAAATAGCAATGAACTCCTCTATCATCAGGTTAAGATTAATCAAGTGAAAAGCATGGCATAATTGCTATGACAAAATATACTTTATGATCCATGAAGTTCTTCTGGTGTGACAGCAAAAACATTATTGACCACAGTCTATTGTACGTCCCTTGGATTTGAGAATGCTATACCACATGCTCTCATGGTTCATTATGACTAGAGTGAAAAACATTCCCAGGAGATGCTTCTGAAAATATTCACTCCAATTATAACAAACCTAGTCCCAAAGGAGTGGGCCTTTTCTTTTAATAGCATTTTCTTTCTCTTAGCTCAAGTGATTTAATATTTTTTGTTCTGAATATTATTTAAACATTGGTAGCTAGTTTTTTATAAAAACATTTTTTAAGAAAACCTAATAAAATGGCTTTGACGTAAACTCAGATAAAAAGTGGTATTTAGTTCTTCTTGCACTTAAAAGAAAAAAACTTTAATATTTTAGAAGTACTTAAGGCATTTTTTAAATCTTTTATTGCTAATGTGGCAATGGAAAGTTGGATATTGGAGGCCTCTGCCATCTACTCATCCTGTACCCTACCTCGCTGGCCTCCCACAGGACATGAACCAGCCTGTCACTCTATCGGCCATTTAGGCAAAGTTCATTTAAAACCTGACAGAACACTGCAAAAGCCAGTGGCATTTTATGCTTGTTACTGGTTTTTATCCTCCTATAATTTTTTTTAATGTAGCCAAGAAATGCAGCTAAAATTTTAGGACAGTTCATATTATTAAAATATTTTGTTGGGATTTTCTGACTGTGCTACAAGACCTGAAATTATCCCAGAGTGTTTATCTCTGACCCAAGGTTTGTGAAGCCATGGCCCAGGGCAAAGCCCTACATGGGTAAAAGGCCCAGAGAGGGATGAGGAGACAGAGAAAAACTACAATCTACTCAAAAAGAGACTTACGCCTGTTTGAAAATAAATATGCACTAATCAACATACTAAAAAGAATAAATAGAGCTCATTTACTGCTTTCAACTAGCCCCTTTTGAAGAGACAATGTACATATGGCTAGTACTCAGCTTGGGGTTCTCCAAGACATCATTTCGGCCCACTCAGATCTTGACTTTGTCCCTCTTTCATCATCTGACCACGTAGTACACCAGCCTCTTTGGCTAGTCACATCTTAAATTCAGGAACTGAAGGATTAGACCATCGAAAGTATGTTTATTTTAAAAATCACCATAATGATGATGAGTCAGTGGTTTCATCCCTATCCAAAGGACAGCACAAATATAAGGAGACTTCAAAAAGTTCATGGAATATGGAATTAAAGTCTGAGTTTATTTTGATGCCAAAAACTGAAATTCAGGCATAGTTTTATCACAATTTTCCATAAACTTATTTTAAGGAATTATTCATTTAATTTTATTTATTATTATTATTTTTGCTGTTGGTTTTTAATTTGCTATAAGGCATGTGTGCTCACCAGAGAGAGACAAGAAGAGAGAGAGAGGGAAAGTGAGAAAGCAAGCCTCCAGGTCCAGGATTTAACTCATGGTCAACCATGTGGGAATCTAGCGCCTTAACCACCATGCCACCTGTTGGCCCCTTCCACAAATTTTTTGAAGGTCCCCCCATAGTTCTGTTTGTGTTACTTTAACCCTCCAGATGCCTCAGGTACTCATTAAAACAGAGATTCAACATGGAGGACTCTTTGTCCTCTCTTTCACTTTCAGAAAGTGTAACAGCACATTGGTCCAAGACACTTGATCCTGATTGTCATAGAAAGGGAGTAGAACAACTGAGTGTGTGTGTGTGTGTGTGTGTGTGTGTGTGTGTGTATGTGTGTGTGTGTGTGTGTGTGTGCATGCTTGTGTTTCGGGGAAAGGGGGTGCCTACACTTCATAACCCTAATTAAGCAACAGTTTTCATCTTTAAAAAAAAAAAATGACACATTCCTTATCCCCAGGCAAGCTATAGTCAGACAGATGATGAAAGTAACATGAAAACGTGATGCTGGAGAGCCCTGCACCCACACAGAGGAGGAAGACAGCAACGGGCAGCAGCCTCACCGAAGAGAGGAGCCTCCACACCCAGCGGCTTCTGACAGCCCCCCACCCCTAACAATGTGTTCTGATGACTATAGTGCAGCTAACTTTTTGTTCTGAGATTTGTAGTTCATAGATGTGTGTTTTAAGAAAGAAAAACAAAGACTTCTGTTCCAAGCTAACTTATCAGCTACATCTTCTGTAACATGACTCATCTCCGGTTAAAAACAAACACAGGCTGAAAACCCATGCTGTCGTTACACACGATGGCAGTATTAAGCATTTTAAACCTTTGCACACGATATCGAAACTGTTCAGTTTACAATGACAATACTAATACTGTTTATAGCTAGAATTTTGATTTCTGGATTCCTTGAGATTTTAGCAAAACAGTTTACTATACACTGTACATTTTTTTCCACAGTAATTGGAAAAAAACAACCACTTGCAATTACTCACTAATCCTGAAGGATTTGTTTCCTGAGTGTACAAACTCAGAGCCAGGAAACCAAGAAGGGTTCTTGGCCTGCACAGTCTCCAGCTGACTCCAAGTCTCTGTGAGCAGTGACTTGAACCAAACACACTGGGAATAATCCATTCTTTGGGACTTCTTTCCAACTCGGGGTTGTTTTCTTTCAAGATACTCTAACAAATCAGCCATAGAATTTAGTGTAAATATTTTTTCCAAATAGATAATCATATTCAAAAATAGGCAACATTCAAATTATATAGAATCTAGTTTTTAAAATCAGCACAGATCTTCTTAAAAACTGTGAACTATGTTTTGAAATACTCGTTACTAAAGCTGTTTATAAACCACAGGTGCCATAAGATCCCCAAACCGACTAAAGTTAACTATGCTCTCCCATGGTCTTGGTCCTCCATTTTAGCTTTAGGGCGCATGTCTTTAACAGCACTGCTCATTCACGAGTTCCTCTATCAGGTTGTTCGGAGGCCTTCAGCTTTAAATGTACAGGCTTAAAGTGCGCTTGCAACTGTTTGCTCTCCTTTGATTTCTGAATGTTTATTGCCTTAGCTGGCCACCTGGTGTTCTGCATGCAGCCTTCTGTGGTCATGTGAAAGGAGACTGGCTCTTCTAAGTTGCGTTGGGATTTTGCACTCAGTAAAAAGCTGAAGTGTGAAAGAACCGTCAAAGACAAGAGGATAAAAGACTTTGTTGACTGTCCTTTATGAGGGCCCTCTTTAGGGAGACCTAAAGACCGCTGGTAGGGTTTCTGGGGGGAATGAAAACGTAATCTTCTACTTATTTAAAGATGTGTTTGGCAAAAGCCTGCACTATATTGGCTATATTATACCTAAATTAGCAGCTTCTCTGGAATTCCTGTTTCTCCTTTAAAAGAAAGAAGAGAATATAATTTCTGAACAGTGGTTTTCAAAGTATGTTCCCTACGATGCATCAGCATCACTTGAGAATATCTTAGAAATGCAAATTTTGGGGCCCCCAACTCAGGCCCACTGAACCCCAAACTCTAAGGGTCAGGTTCAGCCATCTTTTTATCAGCCCTCTGGGTGAATCTGCTGCATACTAAAGGTTTAGAATAAAGCTGTATAATAAAGTCTCTGGAAAAGGTTTGTTCAGTATAAGAAAGACTATGAGTCAACCTCAAAGCTTGAGCAGTTCAATTTCGCTTCCAGAGTGGGCAAAAACCTTCTCCTACCCTCACATACCTACTCCATAGTGGGTGGGTACCCAGCCAAGAACAGATCCTCTTACATCTTCAAGCTCCCCCTGCAGAGGGCTGTAAGATGTTCATGTACCTACATTTGGTCAGAAACCATCTCTGTAATTGCCTTTTGGAACAAAATGGCTAGCCTTGGGGATAGTAATGTGCTTGATTGACATTAGTAAGGAGCCCATTCTGTCCTTTGATGTACTTAATCATACTTCCCTCCAGAGAGCCCACCTGACAAATGCCCCTGAGCACAGGCTGACACCAAAGTGGCACAACTGCACAGTTCTCAGACTTCTTTGCACAGATGGGTTTTATTGCGGGTTTTGTTGGTGTGTCTTAACGTTCATCTCTTCCCCACTGCTCATCCTCCGTGAAACCATACCTCTCTAGATGCAGCAGGTGGCCAATGGTGCCTCATTCTCGGTACTGAAAACCACTACATCCCAGCTACCTACATTGCAGTCAGGTCGAAATCATTGCCAGGTAGTCCTGGAACTCAGAACTCAGCCCACATCAAGTGGCACTTGGCCACTGACTGAACTGAGCTGACATATACTGTATCTTTGCGTTTCTACACCAAAATGTCCGTCCAAGGTTTGAACTGTTCTGCTGGTAACCTTCCCCCTTGTCATAGCTTTCATTGCCAACCAACTCCATCACATGATTACCATCATACAAAGTCATTGCAAGGACTCTGGAAACTGCCGCCAGTGACCAATTTCTGACTAACCAGCCACCTTTTCTTTCTCTTAGCTCCACGTCAGCACTGAGACCAGACTCAAGCACCCCTGTCCTGTAACCGAGACAAAATGGCGTGTATTGTTTTGGGTTTTCGTGTTTTTTGGTGGATTTCTTTCCTTGGCTTTCCAAATTTACTTTTGGGGCCTGTTCTAAGTTCAAACCCAGCAGGTTTCACTTGTCCTGTCCATTAGATACAACTATATCTTGCGGGGGTTGTTTCTTTCTTGTTCCACAATGAATTGCATATCCATCTCCATCAGAGCTGATAGCCTATTAATGAGCACCAGTCTAACACAGCCAACCCTCCCCACAGCACCATGTTAATGGAGGAGGGCTGGAGGGTGAAATCTACTGCATGGGATTCAGGAATCAGTTGTGGTTGGTCAGGACGGAAGTCGGGGTAAGTTTGGTTGGTCCGAGGGAGATGTGCTGGAGATTGTGAAAATGGATACCCGAGTGATCTACTATAAGGCAGGGAAGGTTCATTTGTAAGTAGTAATGTGAACTGAATTACGTTAAGAGTGTGGCCTTTGTTGTGATATACTATGTATTTTCTTATATGCATGAGCCAAACTGTTGCATCATAATTTAGCACTGGCGTCTGCTTTTATTTTGATCATCTTTGTCCACCCTTATTAGTTGTTGGCTGTTAACTGTAGATAGATCTTGTAAATACAGCAACTTCTGGTTGCTGCATTACTTTGGTTCGATCCACGCCAGGAGCCACAAACAAGAACTCCAGTGTCCTCAGAAGAAAGGGCATTTTAACTTTTGAACCAAAAAGAGAACAAAGAAAAATCAGAAATGTTCCATCCTGAGGCTAATTAACTGTGAGACATTTTTAATTATGACTACTACAATTTGACACCACTTGAAATAACCAATTCAGAGACACTAAAGATTTCACAATATCCATTGGTATTCTAACAAAACTACTATTATATGGGTTTTTTGTATTGCTGTTAAGTATTGTTTTGTGTGTGTGTGTGTGTGTGTGTGTGTGTGTGTGCGTGTGTGTTGGAACCTCCTGGGGACATGTTATATTTTGAAGTGATTAAACTATTTAATTGTGTGTCTATATTTTGGAATGGAATTATTTCTTCATTAAAAAATGTTTTTTAAAACACTCCACCTTGTATGTTCTTTCTTTGTTTTAATGAATCTTTCCTAAAGCAACATGGAGTCAATCTGTCAAAGAAAAGTGGAATCAATGCCTCCAACATCAAGCAGGACCCTTTGTTGTAAGCTGATCAACTAAGGCAAACTAGTTCATCCTGTCCTGCCTAGGGGAACACTTTTTTTTTTAACTATTCTACTGATCTATCAGTATCTATTAATATCTAATAGAGATGCTTTTCTGCTGTTTAGAAAGCCTTATAGACAATAAGGTAGAAAGCTTGAAATACTAACAGCTAGTAGAGTGTTTATATTACCCATTGTTTATTTTACTCAGTCTTTTTTATTATTATTATCATCATAATCTTGTTAGATTGCATATAACTTTACAGTCTACTACATTGCTTTTTCTTTTTTGGAGAGGTTTTCGCTAAAGAGCACGTGCACTCGTCAGACAGAGAAAGACATAGAGACAGAAAGCTAGAAATCACCTCCCAGGGGGGATGGTCACGCCACAATCCCTTCTCCTCCATTCTCCTCTTGGGATCTTGGGCACGCACGCACACACGCCCAGCGTGAGTTTTAAGTCACCGGGTCCAGGACATGAACAGTGGTCGACTACATGGGAGTCCAGCAACATAGCCATTACGCTAACTGCTGGCTCCCTACATTGCTTTTTCAAAAGGGAATGCCATGCATGAAGAGAAGAATATAGAGAAAGATAGCAAGAGAACAAATAGAGAGGCAGGACGTGAGTGGGAAATGGATATGGCATATTACCTGTTGATGATGACATGTATAGTATTCTCAACTGGATTGGTCTGAGAAGTATTTCATGATGAGTAGTCTTTTTACAAGAAATAGTGATTGACTGTCTAAAAAAATAATTGGAATAATAATAATAATTGGGAAAACAATGAAAAGATATTGAATGATGAAGTGGGGAGATTAATGTCTCTATATTGACTGACATGCATGGCATTCCCTTTTTATTTTGCTCAGTCTTTTGAATCTGCAGCATCTGGCCATGTACTTGGCAAATATTAAGTGTTTAACAAATTTGTTTGATGAATGACTACATAGAACAGTTTGTTTGTTTGTTCTAGAGCTAGTAAGAATGGAGTATAGCATGGCCAGGAGGCCAATGTGATGACAGCAACAGGAATCAAATTGAGAATTTCAAGCATGTCAAGAGTCCATGTCTTATGATCTTAACACACACACACACACACACACAAAAAAAAAAAAAAAAAAAACCAGTAAGGAGACCAACTTTTGGAGGCAATGGATATGTCTGGTACCTTTACTGAGGTTACTATTTCATGATTGTCTGCACATGTTCAAACTCATCAAATGATATACATTGAATATGTTTATTGTGTATCAATTATAATTTGATAAAGGTGTTGAAAATACACACATATATACATACATAAGCCTTGCATATGCAGATAAAGAAAGAGTCCAAAACAATAATCATTCTTCTCATTCTCCTTTCACCTCATTTTCTTTCATTGTTTAATCTCTATGATTTCCATAAACAGAGGGTTGTGTGCATTGTTAGCTCAAAGAGCCAATTTCTTTACAGAACCAATGTAAAACCTGCAAGTCTGACTCCACACCTCATGAATGGCATTTTGGGAAATTCTTTTTTTTTTTTCTTTTTCTTTTTTTTTGGAGAGGTTTTTTGCTATAGGGTGCATGCACTCAGCAGAAAGACAGAGAAAGACAGAGAGAAAGCGAAAAATCACCCCCCAGGAGGGATGATCATGCTGCAATCCCTTCTTCTCCATTCTTGTCTCGGGATCTTGGGCACACATGCACACGCTCCCAGGGTGAGTTAAAGCCACCAGGTCCAGGACTCGAACCACGGTCGACTACATGGGAGTTCAGCGACATAGCCATTACACTAACTGCTGGTTCCGCATTTTGTGAAATTCTGACATGAAATGGTGCTAAAAGTGTGTTCTGACAGAATCTGGGATTGACTTGGAGCCCATGAAAATCCTGTAAACACTAAAGAAAATAAGAGGCTCTTCATAGATTACAAGGGCAAATCTTGACCTGAGATGACCAAGAGAAGAACTCGCACATTACACTCTGATTTGAGGGTGAGAGATAAGAACATGCCTGTGGATTCCTGTCCAAGTCTCTTTCAACTACATCTCAATGGCTCATCCCTCATCTCTTAGAAGCCACATTTAGCTCTGATGTCCCTATCTCAACATTTCCCAAATTTATCTAATTATAAAAGTCACCTGAGGAGCTAAGTCTGATTTAGCAAGTGTAAAGTAGAGTCAGGGAATTTATATTGACTTTCATAATTAGACAAATTTAACAAGTTTTAAGAAATGCTATTCCCCTGCTATTCAAAATGTGGGCTCAGGGTCAACCGAATTAGCATCTTTTGGGAACTAGTTACAAATACAGAATCTCAGGTTATAAATAATATCTCTTGAATAAGAATCTACATTTTATCAAGAACCCTAAGTGGTTTGTGTGCACATCAAAGTTTAAGAAGCACTAACCTAGAGTCCAGCTTTAAATCTAGCATTTTAGAAACAGACTCAGGTAGGACCTTGGGATGTGGAATGACAAGTGAGTGTCACACTAATCTACGGGATGCTTGTAGTATTTTGATTTAATAAGTCTGGGTAAGGCCTGAGATCTACATTTCAAACAAGGTCTTAGGTAGTTCTGACATTAGTCTGAGGACCATACTTTGAGTTTCAAAGCTATTGAGTTCTATTAAATCAAGCACATTCTGGAGAAATTTTTATTGGCAAACCAGGTACAATATTAAAGGCCTGGCCTCTGGAGATTCCTGTGCATGGCAAATAAAGATACTCAAATCGAAGGACAGAAGCTCAGTAGCACACAGCAACTAAACCTATACTAGGAGCCCTGGAAGTGGCTGGTTTAAGGATTCTGTCACAGCAGAAGCTTTTGCTCCAAGAGGTGAGGCCTCTGTCTCCAAGGCACAGGGAACCACCCAGAAGTAGGACTCCATGGAGTAGACCCAAAGTACAGATTTGTAAAGCTGAGATAGGGCCAAGCTGGGTGAAGCGAAGCAATCAAGGTTTTGTCTTTGTCACACCAACAGCGTGCCAACAGAGAGTCTCTCTGAGTACCTTGGGAACTTGGGATCTTGCCCTTTTGGAGAAACTGCGAGTATAGAACTCCTCCCACCTCATTTGAAATGCCAAATATATACATGAAAAGATGTTCATGCTTGAAAAAATTAGAAATAGCCTAAATGGACATTAATGTAATAGGACTTATAATACTTACAACATAATATGGTAGAATGGAATACTAAGAAGTCATAAAAATGCTGGTATATAGATATATTTATTGACATGAAAGACATTTAAATATGTAAAGCAAAAAATCAGATTATTTTTAAAAATGTAAAAATTATCTCAACTTTGTAAATATTTGAGTACCTTAAAAAACAAACAGAAAAATATACAAAATATACACTAAAAGATACTAACCTAACTTATAGGATTATGGATGATATTTTTATTTTTTTCATAATGTTATGTATTTTATCCCTGCTCTCCATCATAAATATTTAGAGCTCATAAATGCATGGATAAGGAACACAAGAAGATTCTCCAATTTGGTGGTAGGGTTACTGGAGTCAACGCTTTTGAAGATCTAACAGAATTTTCTTTGCCTTCAGTGAACAAAGGATTTTCTCTTTACCTAGAGTCTCAACAGTATATGTATAATGCTTACCTTATTTTAAAGAAAACAACAGAAATATTGGAGGCTTATGAGTTAAGTTAAATAATGATAATTTTTGGTCCTCCCTTCCCCAGTGTTATTGGTTCAGTAACAGATAAAAACAAAATGGGAACCAGTAATGCAGACTTTGCATATTCTCCATCTCTGATACTGCTGGCTGGCTCATGTGTTAAATGAAGTTAAATAACAGTTGTGGTTGGCTCCTTCAAGTTCCAGTACCCTGATTG